AAGTGAAAGATATTCCAGAACAGTGCAGCATCAGAAAGGCCCGAGTACCATGTTATTGAGAAACGTTTGCTGTTGAACAGTCATTGTAGCCCTAACACAGGTATCTGCTTCCTTACGAATTTGGGCAACAGCGTATTGTTAGATATACTGTACGTATTACTCTGCGTGTCTTTATTCTGTATTAAAACAAAGTTGTTACATTTTTCCACTCCAAAAACTTCCGTAGACTCAGATATAGATTTACCTAATCAATCATTCAAGTTACTATATACATTGCTATTCAAATGTTGGACACTCAATGGGAGGAGGGGTACATGCGATGGGTGTATACTCACCCCCCCCCCCATTGGGACAAGTTCGAAAATTTACTAAACATAAAATTGGCTATTTTATATAATACTGTTTTTAAAGAGGAATAAAAAATCTTTACTTTTTTCCAACAATCTAGTATCGTTAGTCCAGTATATTGTATATGGTTGACTTTATTTCCCTCCGATCTCGAAATGATGAAAAAATACAAATATATTTTCAAAAGAAACATTTATTTGAAATTTATATCAATATCGTATTATTTATGTAAAATGTATCAATAATATTGAGCTATGCATCAACATATCGTATATACACTAAAGTGCTTATTATTTCCATTCGAAATATATAAACTCCCTGTCACACTTATCAAATTTTATTTAACAAAAAACATGTGACATGCCAAAATTATGGTCATGATGGCATACAACATTACGGCATACAACATTGTCAAAGAAAATTTGATAATGGTCGTATTTACTGTACCTGAACTCATCTAATTCTAGCCTGTTTTCCACAGGCGAACCTATGGTCGCAAATCAAAAGCGTCAGTTCATCACACGCGCATTAAGGCCGGTTCCCACTGAACGCGATCAAGCGAATTTCGCGTCGAAATGTGGCGCGCGCGGTTGAATCGAAAACGCGACTGGCGTTTCCAATGTGAACATGCAAACGAATTTGTAGTCGAACAAGCGAACGCCCAATATTCGAACTTCGAAGCGGTGCGCGCGGTGGTCGCGGAGGCTTCGCCTGCGAATTCACAAGAGTTGATCCATTAACATTCTATCGGATGTTTTCGCTTCAGCGACATCAGGGGCGGAGTGCTTATAACCATAGAGAAAATTTTCTCTATGTTATAACCGGCTGCCTTTAATCGTGACGTCAGTACCAGGCTACAATTAGCCAGTTAGCCGTCATTTTAAAGCCTACTCGGAGGAGGCTTTCAACGGTCTTAAATCATTTTCATCATGGCGTTACAGGTACTAGACCTAAGCCTATATTATCAAAGAATAGGCCTAACAATCGAGCGACGAATATTCCGCAAGCTTCTCCGGTGTACCTTCCTACGTTTTTATGTACGTTAATTTTGATAAATATGCCTGTTTTGAGCAAAGTGTAACAGCGCTTTCAATTTTATGTTACCAGGGAGTGCTTGTTTGCGTTTCAATACTCAAAGCGGTCTAAGTGAAGACCGTTTTATGGTCTTAGCAGAGTGACTTTACTTAAGACCGTCCAACCGGCTTTATTCGAGGAGTTAAGACTACCAGTTAAGACTGTTTATAATCCGCCCCTGTAATTCGAACTGTTTCTACTTTTCGCGAAGCGAAAAAATACGCAACCAATCAGAGCCCATGAACCGACGAATCGTCGCTTTCGATTCGCGCGAATAAATTCATCCTATAAAAAAACAGATTTTGATGAGAGATTTCTTTGTCTAAAGGCCAACTCCGACAGCGTTGTACGATGCAGCCCGACGCGATATGTCGCCGGGGATAGTCTTTATGTCGTCGTGAGAAAATGATTCGTATTTTAATGTTCTACAATGCGATTGCCCCTAATGCAGACCTATCACGTCTGACTCTCCGCGACCACAATTCGCATTGGGCTACCTTGTGGAACACACTCATGATTTAGCCCTAATAAACATGCATTAGTGCTGTGGATAGTGCATAGGCTTATTCTATAACAAGTTCAAGGTACACTTAATCTATAGTTTTTCCGTATTCTGTCTCAAAATTAACTTGCTCGTTGGTGGCGCTGTCCGGAATGAGAAAAAAAAATAATAAGGGACTTGTGGCAAGTCTAGGACAACACGTGTGTTTGGGCACGCGCATTCATGGCACTGTTATGGTTGGTCAGCAGGGCCGGCGGAACGTTTTTCAAAGTGGGGGGTGGGCACTTATAAGATGAAGGGGAATATAAATCATGCAGATGTGGAATCAAATCTAGGGGGTCCAGGGGTCCTCCCCCGGGAAAATTTTGATTTCAAGATGGCGGGAAATGACTTTTCTCGACTTTTGAGCTAGGTGTTTAATGACTTTGTTCTTCAAAATTCAAGGTTTTCCCCCTCTTGAAAACGGTCAGGTAAACTTTCTCATTCTTATTACAGTAAATAGGCCTGATATGTGTGTAAACATACATAAAAAAAATGAGTAGTTGCGTAGGCGTACGTATTATTTTTTCAATGAATCGATAAGCTCCAAAAAAAAGGGGGGTTCTCCCCCGGGAAAATTTTGATTTCTAGATGGTGGGAAATGAGCTTTTCCGACTTCTGAGGTGTCTTAATTACTTTTAAGTTCTTCAAAATTCAAGGTTTTCCCCTCTTGAAAATGGTCAGGTAATTTTTCCCATTGCTTTTACGGTAAATAGGTTTTAAGAGTGTATACATACATAAGAATATTTAAAAAAATGAGTAGTTGCATACGATTTTTCCCCATGAATCGATAAATCCCAAAAAGAAAGGGGGTCTGGGGGTTCTCCCCGGGAAAATTTTGATTCCTAGAAGGCGGAAATTAGTTTTAGTTTCTTTTGAGGTGTCTTTTAATTACTTTTAAGTTCTTTAAAATTCAAAGTTTTCCCCTCTTGAAAATTATTATAATGAATCAAAAAACCCAAAGAGAAAAGGGAGGTTCAGGTTCTCCCCTGGAAAATGTTGATTTTTAAATGGTGGGAAATGAGCTTTCCCGACTTCTGAAGAATCTTTTAGCGACTTTAATTTAAGTTCTTTAAAATTCAAGGTTTTCCCCTCTTGAAAACGGTCAGGTAAATTTTCCTCATTGTTATTACAGTAGATAGGCCTATGACTTATGTGTGTATACATACATAAAACAAAATTGAGTAGTTGCATACGATTTTTTTTCATGAGTCGATAAATCCCCAAAGGGGGGAGAGGGTCCGGGGGCCTCCCCCGAAAAAATTTTGATTCCTTGAAGGTGGGAGATGAGCTTCCCGGCTTCTAAGTTGTCTTTTAATTACTTTTAAGTTCTTCAAAATTCAAGGTTTTCCCCCTCTTGAAAATGATTCAATGAATCAATGCACACCAAAGAAAAAGGGGGTCCGGGTTTCGATTTCTAGATGGCGGGAAATGAGCTTTCCTGACTTCTGAAGTGTCATTTATAAATAATGACTTTAATTTCTTCAAAATTCAAGGTTTTCCCCTCTTGAAAACGGTCAGGTACATTTTTCTCATTTTTTATTTTATGTGTGTATACACATAAACAAATGAGTAGTTGCATGCGTATTCTTTTTTCCATGAATCGATAAATCCCAACAAGAAAGGTGGTCCGGGGGTTCTCCCCCTGGAAAATTGTGATTCCTAGATGGCGGGATATGATCTTTTTCGACATTTGAATTGTGTTTTAATGACTTTTATGTTCTCAAAATTCTAATTTTCTTAAGTGTAAATAAAAAACAGCTCACAGGTCCTGAAAATGTAGGTCTAGAATTCTTTTTCCCACCTTCAGGACCGATGACCCCTCCCCCAGATCCGCCAATGTGAATTGCGAGAAAATGTACTCGGTCGGGGACTGGATAAACATTCTCTTTCCCATCCTTCTCCTTCTTCCCTCTTTCTTTTCTTGCATTTCTTTCCGATCATACAAAAATCTCCAGACATATATTTTTTGCCAAAAGTTGGGGGCCCGGCCCCCCGCCCCCGGTTCCACCAGCCATGGGTCAGTTGTTAAGTTTGATTGACACTCCTGAAAGTTCTATTGGTCAATCTGATTAAATATTATACTAGTAACTAAGTATAACTACAGCTATGGTCATTATTTACAAAAATTATAGGTAAAACAAACTTGACATGAATTTGGACTGAACTACGGGACTATAGGAACATTAGGAATCACCACAAATTGATAATATATATATAATGGACATTATATAAATATATGTTTCTATTATAGTACTGCAATGTGTTATTAACCATCTAAATTTCATTTAAACTTGATGATACGAAAGAAAAATACCAATTATCAATTCTTTTATTGACTGCATAAAACAGTATGGTCATTTAAACAAAGTAAAATAACACAAACAACATATATCACAAAACGTTCAATTAAGTCTGATAAATCATAAAGCAATTCTTCAAATTAAAGCTCCTGTAACAAAGGTAAATAATAGTAAAATAACATCATAATCAGTGGTGCTTATAATGTTGAAAAAGTTTTTTTTCTCTCTCTCTTTTGTGGGAGTTGCACCCACTTTTATTTCATTTCTCTTTTCTTAGTTTAATAACATTTTTTTTCTTTTTTTTACACATAAAATAATGACATACTGGTAATTATAAAGGCCATTGAATAATAATAATAATAATGATAGTAATGATAATAATAAAGGGTGTCTTTATGTTCAAAATATCCATAAGATGCGTGTACCAGACAGCTCTTTTTTGGGATTGATAATAAAATTATAACCCACTCATCAACTAACTCTTAATATTATATAC